TTCAACCGCACCCAACTGCGAAAGTATTGCAGCCGATAGTCGTCATAGACTGAATCGAAGAGACAACTCAATCTCTGTTTTAAGAAAAGCCAATACACAAGAACCACACAGTTAATTTCTGACAAAATTTGTCAAAAATCTCCATAATTATTGCTAACAAGAAGACACTTGCTGGGACGGTCATATATCGCTTATTTTCCGTCTTCATCAGGCCACATTCCAAACGCGGTGGGAAGGGACGTGGACTTGAAAACCGGGAGCGACGGGTTGGCGTCCCGTCGTTTGGTCACGTGGGCCTGAGTGTGAGGCAAATAAATTACGCCCGTTGTCGGAAGCCTCAACACCTCAAAATGACGGGGACTGTTTTATGTCCGTATAAACTAAACTCCGATTCCTTGATAAACTGATGTGGTAAAAGTATTCGTCACCCTTACTCCCCATGCCGTCTGCATTAATTATTGCATTTATAGACATGTGCGCCAGGCCAACATGAGTGCCCCAGTGGCAACTTTTAAAATGCGGCAAAAGTGTTGAAGAAGCTTGACGTTCTGTCCTTTGTCAATTTTAAACATAGACAGAGAGCACGACATCCAACACATGTCCCTGGTAGTCGGCGCGGAACGGTGACCTGTGCACGAATTAGGTTTGTGCATCATCTGCCGTACTCCTTCCTACTGGGGTCCGATGCAAGACAATGTCAAGGCGATTGGAGGCGGACACGTGTGCAGTAACTGACAAAGCCAAACAGCCCGTCTACGCAGACGCACACAAGACCTGGCCCTAACAGCATGCACCTAGCCTGTGCAAGAGGCGGCTTAGGTATCGCATGCGTGGAAGTGCCGTAGTGGCCGCAATACGGGCAGTCACTTCAGCCTGTCTCTCAGTCCAAGGAAGGACCGAATTATCTCGCCAGCTGGCGAACTTCCAAGCCACGGCCCGCAGGGCGTCGTGGTAAGTCTGTGTGCGTCAGATTTATTTTAGTGAGGGACACGCCGACGTGCCGTGGGGATGGATTCCCCGGCATCGGCCTCAGCCTCCTTTCCCCCTGCTATGCGTCAGTCGAATATCATAGCCTGTCAACCATCGGGTGCTGGGATTGGGCGCAGCGTCTGGAGCGATGCAATGGTCCAAGTTTAGGCATGCCACCACACTTCCACGTATCGCAGTAGTTACTGGTCCGTGTCAATTGCGCGCAGACTGATTAAAGCATGTCGCCCGCCAACCCGACCCTTGTATTGCTCCAGAGAATCTGCAACACAGCTCGTTGTGAGTTGACGGAATGACAAGTTAAAGCGGTTATGTTCGCAAGTACGATGATGACATGCCACGTTTTTACGACAATACTTCATGCATACACAAATTACTGGACTTTTCTGGACTTTTCTGGCCCAAAGCAGCTAGCTAAACTGCAACTTCGTGAACATATGCGCACACAACAAGGGTTTGCAGGCCAAAACACACCAGTCTGGTCCTAGATTTTGATGAGCATTCCTGTGCGTCAAGAATGTCCAGAAATATTAATTGATGTGCAGTACTCACAGAACGGGTAGGGACCAAAAGTCAAGAAAACTGCTTCGGAAGTCGTCAGGCGCCTTCTCACACCAATCAGAAGTGGGCTTGCAAACAAACCAGAGGCAACCATCAGAAGTCAGATAATGAGGTCAAAATACCAATTACCACAGCAAAGACTGCGTAGACGTTTACTTTATCCAATGCGCTTGTTGGTAAAGCAATTAGATCAGAGGAGCTGGGGGCCTAATGTAGACGGGGGTGGTCAAACACGCGTCTGTAGAAAGAAGGAACGACCTCTACTTTCAAGCCGCAATCCATCCATAGGGACTTGTCCCTACCCTAAAGCTAACACAGCACAATTCAAATGCCGACCCGGTAAGACATTCGCACGTCCTCGTGCGAACTCCAGAAGCCGATAATTTAGAAGTTTTTGACGGACAAAAATGATGAGGTCATCAAACAGACATGGAGAAATGAGACATCTCCTGTCACTGCACAGTAGTAATAACGAGGGTTCTCTAGGCCGTCCAGAATAGAACCAGACATACCTACAGAAATGACATGACTAGTTCGGTCGCTGTCAACAGCCGCCAATCCACACAGGAGCCCCACTTTTGAGGATGGCGGCGGCTTTTCATTGGAGCTTGCTACATCGAAACCCGGCGGAAGCATACTTAAGCTTCGACTCGAGGATAAGGGACGAATAACGGAGGTTGTCAACATCTGCCTCTTGTGTACACGTGAACTCTCCCGTACATAACGTTCAGAGTCCAAAGTACCTTCCTGCCCACGCGTGTGGGGTCGCTTAATGTGGTTTTTCATCCCGCAACTCCACTGAGCTAAAAATCTCTAGTGCTAGGTTAGAAAATAATGTGGTTTTTCGACAATTTACTTAGTCAGGGTGCGTCGTTCACGAGCAGAGTTCGGTATGGAAAAAGCTCGTCCTGTTTGACCTTGGAACTCTTGTTTGGAGTCCTACGGACAGTCATATAACAACAAGTGATGAATAATAGAGGAGTAATGTGGATGGGATGCCTGCAAAAACAGAGGAAAGTGGGATAGCCATTGAACTCGGTGTTCGATGACCAGCTGTGGCTGGCTGGCGACAGTCAACAAGTCACTAATGGCCATTCAAGTCTCCCTTATCTTTGTCTGAATTCCACTGGTATGTTTGCTATTTGTTTTTATTAACCGGTGACAAAACTTTACAAGAAATCGTTCGGTCAACAAACAATACGGACGGATTTTTTTCATTAAACTGTTTTTCTATAATGCTTGTTAGAATCTAAGTTATGAAATGCCGCGTGGATGTCCTTCAATAGTTAATTTTAGAGGATCCGGTGAAATGGGGGGGGGGGGGCATGGGTTCTGAGAGACACTCAAGAGGAAGGAAGAAGCATGTTTGAGCATACATAAACATAACGTATCCAGGGTTATAAGGATTGTGTGCGTCAGCGATGCCGCAATTCAACATGCTATGGCCTTCGCAGCCTGGCGTGCGCTGACGACTGGTTCCCTGAGGGTAGATGCGCTTGCGCTCCAGGCCGTGGGCATGATTGCCCAGTGACTTATGTCATCCTCCTCTTTCTGACCCGTTTTTTTGCTGATTAAAATCCTGACCAGGTGTTTGTGTGGATCAGGGGGTTGGTGTGGCGCTTAGGTGGGAGTCCGGCCGTGCTAGCCACCTGTGCCCTCTCCTGCCTCCAAACTTCTTGACAATGTCTTGACACTGGGCTCAGGCGGGGGGTGGGGGTGGAGAAAAGAGTGCGGCAGAAGCTGTCCAAGCCTACTCTCACCTTAAACTAACTCACGCACAAGTCCTCATGCCTGCTCTCGCCTTGCCGGTGGGTATCGTCGTGCATGACGGTTGAACTTCCGAACTACGTATCCATGTGGCCCTTGCCGACAACAGCTGAAATGACTGCTCAAAATTCATCTGGTACTGGAAGATAGAACTATCTTATAAAGTTGGCGTTGACTCAGCTGTCACCAGCATGTGCTGGTGCAAGAAATTTTCACAATTTGAGGAACCTCAATGAGTAATACTCGGGTTTGAGGCAGATTTTAGTTCGCCCCTTAAGTCGCGTTCGGCAGTCGAGGCGTAACTTGTCTCACGGGGAAGGAAGGATGCGCTTACGAATGCCGTGCCGGCCGGTACTACCCTCTTGCCTTGGACCTCATTTGATGAGCGCTTGAAACAAAATCACTACTGGGTGACTGAAGGAGTGAGAACAGAAAGAACAACAAAGGGTCCCGCCTACTGCACCGGCGGGGCAGTGGCCTTTAGCTGGCGCCTAAACCTTACGATTTCTTGTCCACCGCAGGCATCATTTCGTTGCCAGGACTTGTGTTCGTTCCTCCACACCGTTTCAACCAGAGAAAGGCGTGAGAGACGTATTACGGGCCAATCTGAGGGAATGACACTGGGTTCGGTCGACCACTGCTATCTCAACACGAATTTTCTGACTGAGCTTCCGGGCGCCTTGTTTTCAACTGCAGGCGGGTATTTTTGCAGCACAGCCACCGATGCAGGACGGTCTCGGCGTACTTTGACCCACAGCTCTTTGCACTCCACCTTCACTGCTACTTTTCCACACAGGAATGACCAAATTTACAAAAAATATTAATTTAATGGTACTAGAAATTTTCGCGACGGCTTCTCAACTGCAGCCTGTCGTTGCATAACACAAATAACAAGTGAGAAAGGTACAGGGGTTTGAAGTTCGACAGAGAACATCAATGTAAAACAACAAGGTCAACGTATACTGCGCGTAGACTAATCAATAAAATGATAACTTCAAAATGCAACATAGGAATGAAAATGGGGAAGTAAACATGCCGAGGGATTTCGAAAATCGAAAGGACTCAGGTCTACCAGGGCAAGCTGTTAACCACGTGGTCTAACTGTTTACATAGGTCGGGTTTCTCTCGTCGTATATAGTCTGCCTCCAGGTAGCGCAATAACCGAGTAGTACGTGCTCGAACTAATACTCAAAAAGACGTTTTGAGGTCAACCGAATGGCCACTATCAAGGAGATGTTTTGTAATAGAAGACCGTGGAATCTTATTCTCCTGCTTTAGAAGCCATTTAGGCAGTCGAGACGTAACTTGTCTCATGGGGAAGGAAGGATGCGCTTACGAATGCTGTGCCGGCCGGTACTGCCCTCTTGCCTTGGACCTCAGCTGATGGGTGCTTGAAACAAAATCCCTATTGGGTGACGTAAGGAGTGAGAACAGAAAAGCTGTCCTTGTTTGCTTTAAATTCATTCAGGGGAAATATTGCTTCAAAAAATATTAAAAAATTAAAGGAGCACTCTATACTGCGCTTCTGGGCATCAGAGAGCATGAAAAACGGCTGGCTCGCTGCCTGCATCATTTTTATACGGCCTATAGAGTGCAACCTACTTCAGTAGTGCTATGAAGGAAGCTCTGCATAAGTGTGCCTGACTTTCTGTGTAGGATTCGACCGTGAAATGGAGTGCTTTGTGTAGCACAGAAGCGCATACCGCCGCATTACAGGTGACCTTTTGCCAAATTCCAGGAGGGCTGGAGTTACGGTTAGGAGGGTCAGGGTTGAGGTTGGAGTTAGGACACAGGAACTGGGTAACTCCTGGAATTCGGCGCATGCCACCTCTGTCAAAATTGCGCTGTTTCTGAATTTCGTCGTAAGAAACGCATCATTCGAAGTTGACTCTTCACCAGATAGTTTATATGAAGTTTCCGATTTGTTTACAGCAGGTTGAGGGAAAAAGGATTAATAAAAGTCAGACGTGGAAAAGCATACTCGGCAATTCTTGATGGAATTAATCTCCATTCCATAGTTTGACGGCGAGGTAGCCGTCGAATCTCCTCCGTAATATCCAAATCTGCACGTCCGAGCGTCTGTCTCCAGCATACTTTAGAGTGAAACGACATTGCACACCCTGACCTTGATTTGCAGTAGGTGACGTAATTCACGAAATGGCTGTCGATTTAGGGAAAATATGTAATTCCGGGGAACCGGCTCCAAAGCATCGGTCAAAATTCCCAAATATCAGTGAATGGCGTTAAATGAGATGAAAACATAATAAAAGTATTGAAAGTAATATTACACTGGTTAGAAGTGGGAAATTTCTTAATAAATACAGTAATGCCGAAAAGATGAAAAGTCGTGTCAAATGAGTAAGCTGGGGCAAAGAATTCCTCAAGATATCTTGTAACGATAGGCTTGACCTCCTTGTCGGCGAACACCCGTGGCGACATCTGCGAAGGAGAGTCGTTTGGCCAATGGCGCATCGTATATCCTCACGAGGTGGCCACTTCATCGCAGTTGCAGTTGCCTCGGATTCCAGTCCGTTCCAGAATTTCCGTGTCCGGGATCCTGTCCCGTCACTTCAGGTTTAGGATTCTCCGAAGACAGCTAAGGTGGAAGTGGTTGAGTTTCCTGACTTGACTGGGGTTGATGGTCCAGGTCTCAGTTCCATACAGTACCCTTGTCAAGGTAACCGCTTTGTAGATCTTCAGTTTAGTGTTGAGGTGGAGACCGTGGCGATTCCATAATGCGTTCTGCAGCCGACCGAGGGCCTGGCTAGCTTTTGAGATCCGGTGAGCCACCTCGTCGTCGATTTTGATACCGTGTTAGTGTACTATCTAAATAGGCGAAGTTGTCCATGATTTTCAGTTGGGTGCGTTGACGTGGATGCGAGAAACAATGCATGCAGCTTTTGGAGGTGGTTGATGCATGATCACCGTTTTGTCTGTGCTGATGCCCAGCTTTAAGTTGGTGGAGCTGGAGGCAGAGTTCTGTGCTCCGTTGTATGTCAGCTTCTGTTTTGGCGTCGAGTATGCAGTCCTCAGGGAGGAGCAGGTCGTGGGTAGTAGACGTAGAAAGACGCGTTGAGGCCTGCATGCGTCGGCTATTGAGAAGATGGACGTTGGTCCTGTAGACTGTGCCGGTCCCAGAGGCTCATCACGGTAGGCGTCCATCGACATGGCAGAAAACATGAGGCTGAAGAGGTTTGGGGCGATTACGTAGCCCTGCTTCACTCCACTGGTTGCCGCGAATGCTACAGAGACAGTCACATTGTCCATGACGCGCGCCATCGTGCCGTCGTTGTGTTGTTGCACCATGTGTGTGAATAGTTCAGGAAAACCCGATTTCTGCATGATTTTTCACAGTCTACCGCGATTCACTGTGGTGGAGGCCTTCGTCAAACCCAAGAAAGTAAAGTAGAGGTTGGTGTACATCTCTTGACACTCCAGTTGCAGCTGGCGGGCGTGAAGATCATGTCGGTGGTTACGCGGTGGCGTCAGAATCCAGACTAACATTCCGGCAGAAGTCCCTGTTCTAGATGACTGTTAGTGCGATTGAGGAGGATGCGAGATAAGATTTTCCCGGCGACGGTTAGCATCGTCGAATGTTTGTAGACTTCGGCCGGTGTCGCGCCTGAGTCTAATGCTTTCCGGCTTGGCAATTGCTGCACGCTCCTGATGGTTTCTGGATAGGCAGGTGGGGATTTCAGGTCGTTATTTGTTTTCAATAGTGGGAGTCGGTCGATGGCGGCATCGGAAATCGTGGATGGGCGGTTGGGGGTATTTCTGAGTGTTTGGCCAAGTGCTCCAGAATTTGTGATTTCTCCATCAGAATGTCGATGCGTAAGAGCTGAGAAGCGAGGCGGTTACTTTGGTTGTGTAGCCGTAGACCGCCTTGGTTGAGATTAAGAAGTTCTTTGTATCATCGCGATCCCCACAGTCTTGGATCTCCTCGGCCCCACAAACTATCCAGAAGTCTTGAATTTCCCGCAGTCGTTGCTACACAAGGCGGCGACATCTGTAGAAAGACGCTTTGTTTGCGTCGGTCAGACGGCCAATGTAGGCTTTGTGCAACCTGCTATTTTCGGCGGTCAGATTGCGGATGTCTGCGTGTTTTGGCGTCAGATCAGTTCCGGTGTTGATGATGTGCGCGACCGAGGACATCAAGGACAGTGGAGGGAATACTGTCCCGCAGTTCGCACCAGCGATTCGCCACGGTGGTGTTTTCCTCTGTAACTTGTAAATCTTCCAGTCGCTGTGTCAAGTGATTGTTCAAATCAAAGCGGTGAGCAGACATATCCAACAGAACAGTATTTGACTGGCCCAGTAGTCGTTTACCGTGTGGTCTTCTGCGGAGTTGCAGTCGGAATCTCATTTTAGGAAGAACGAGGTGGTGGTCGGTCAAGTCATCGGCACCCCAGATCACCCTTGTCACAAGCACATCCTGCCGTTCTCGCCTGCGGACGAGAACGTAATCCAGCAGCTGCCAACACCGCGATCGACGATGAATGCTCCTCTTGCCTTCTTTTGTGTCGAAAGGCGGAAGAAAGTGTTAGTAGGGAGGGGGTGGTCTTGTCGAATGTTGTGTGGTCGACAAGATAAAGATTCCCAATCAAAAGTCATGGAAGACGGTTTGAGTTGGACAACCTTTATAGGTCAGTATAGGTCAGTATATTTTGAGAGTAATAGGCAATGCCTTTGAAAACCCTATTGTAAACGGTACATGCAATATCTCACTATAAATAAACATGGTACTGAGGAAGTGCGTACACAAGGGCTCTGTAGGCGGTCGCCGCGAACGCGCTCCAAGCAAGCTGTTGTCTGTATCCGCCTTCGAGGTGTTGTGTCAGCGCGTGTGTGCGCCCTTCGTTGTCTCCACGTCCGCCAGCCAATCAGAGTTGGGACAGCGTTGCTTGGCTTGGAGCACTCGCGAGGCTAGTGACGAGCCTCGCGCGTCCCAGCAGCGTATCGACAAGGAGTGTGAGGCGGGCAGGACGGCAGTGTGACAAAGGCGGAGCAGGGAGACGCGAACTGCTACAGTCTTCTGCGCAGGTTCGCAGAAGGAGGAGGTCGTTGGCGCTGCAGTCGTTAGTTCCATGGGGACCCAACACTCTCTTCCAGGTAGTGTGCTCTGTCCTGACACGGACATTGAAATTACCAAGGACAGTCAACTCGTCCGGGTTCGGTACAGTCAGCAGGAGGGCGTGTAGGTCCTCGCAGAATTTGCTCTTCTTTTCGTCAGAGCTGGCCATTGGGAGTGGGCATAGGCGTTAACGATGGTGGCGAAGTTAGTAACCCGAAGAGGCAGGTGCAGGCACATGAGGCGGTCATCGATGTCTTTCGGCACACAGGGCAATCATCCTACGATGTCGTTCCGGATGGCAAAGGTAACGCCAGCGTCGCGTCACTTTGTCTTTGGGCAACTGCCCCAAGAGAAGGTGTAGCCTGTATCCACATCCTCCAATAGGCCTTGTTTAGAGAAGTGGGTCTAGCTGTGGGCAGCGATGTTCACCTTGTGGTGCCTCAGTTCCTGAGTGACCATCCTCATCCCCCGTTCGGACCATTTGCCCCTCGGACGGTCTACAATAAAGCAAACATTCCAGGTTGCCCGGGTGAGCGGACTCGCCCTACCAGCCTGTAGGGTGGGGCGGGATTGAGGAGCAGAAGGGTTGTTGTTGTTCTTTGTTGGGTTTCGACCGTGAATTTTGCATCTACGAACCACGGTATATTTGCAGTTGGCATGATTTCCCAGCATTTTTCTAGGGCACCTTTTGTAGACCCTTCTCCTCGTGGGGATAAGCAGTGTTAGCTCTATATAGGGCTGCTTAGACATCTTGGGTGGCTACCGAACTCTACTATGGGTCACGGCTTGGGAGAGCGATCGAGTTAACCTGAACCGCCTACAGGAATTCCTTTCCCCCTCCCCGGGGGCGTTTTGAAGTAGAGGGGGAGGTGGAGAAGGAGAGGGGAGGGCAGAGGGAAGGGGATGTAGGGGTACGAATGGGTGGGAATAGGCGCAGAATTACCGGGCGCGGAGGCAGAGCAGCGGTTACCCTTATCTGGCTTGATACGCAGATAGAGGCGGCTACAGGGGTGTGGCTGCTGCATACAGTCTAGCGTCGGGGAACCACAGATTAGAGTTGGGTGCCAGTTAAAGACCGTGAGGAGCAGTCGCCATTTGCTTGGTGCGACCTACCACCCATGCAGGAGCGCCCATTAACTGAATACCCCTTTACTCCACACACACACGCGGCAGCGGGATGGTTCGTGTCCGAGAAACTGTTTAACAACCTGTGTCATTCTTAATCAAACAATCTTCAGCTGAAATAGTGTGCCTAATCTCCAGCGATTTATAGGCAGAATGGCATTACCGACAAAGACAAGGGAGACTGGAGTGGCCATTTCTGGCTTATTAGCCGTCGTCAGCCAGTCATACCCAAGCCCGAAGTGTGGAACACCCGAGCCTCTAATTCGCGACCTGTTAGTTAGAAGTCCACGGCTCTAACCACTGCGCCACGAGCCCGTTGCCCTGTCAGTTTTCCATCGGGAATATACAATGGCAGGGGGCGCCCACCGATCGTTCCTACGGAACTCACTCCTTGCGTTGTGCCTTACGGGCTCTCTCTCGAGCCTAACCAGCAGTCGCACAGCGGCGCATGATATATTGGCAGTAAAGGCCTCGGGCGTTCCACACTTCGGGCTTGGGTATGACTGGCTGACGACGGCTAATAAGCCAGAAATGGCCATTCCAGTCTCCCTTTTCTTTGTCGGTAATACCATACTGCCTATATCATGCGTCGTTGTGCGGCTGCTGGTTGGGCTCGAGAGAGAGCCCTTAAGGCACAACGGAACGAGTGAGTTCCGTACGAACGATCGGTGAGCGCCCTCTACCACTCCTGCGATTTTTTACGTTTGTATAAGACCAATCCTTGTTCTTGGGAATACTACCGCAAACGCTCCTTTTCTATGCATATCGTATGCTAACTCCAGTTTTCTCTGCATTTTAAGCTTAAACAATGACCGTTTTCAACTACGGAGGCGTTTGAAAACGGATGCACATATTCGAGACACGGAAAGCGTTTTCGCGTTTTTAGCTTTTCCGAGTTAAGTGTCAGGCCAGCCTTCTATACCCACTTCTTACTATACCTGTAATAGAGCCTCCTGATGCTACAAAAATCCTTATATACATATGTATAGAAGAATAGGGGACGGCGATCGCTGGGTCCAATTGTTTATTTATCCGATGTTTCGAACTCTCACGCGAGCCCATCGTCAAGGGATGAAAAACCGTACAACTCATCGCATATTGAGCTCACCTCTGCCGGGGATAAACTCCAGCTACGCTGCTGATTTGTTCACGCAGTACTTCATAAGCGATTGGCAGATCGATCTGTCGATTGATCGAGTCCTCATTTGAGTGCCACGTTTGCTGCAGCAGGCGCGCAACTCGGTCGTCTGACTGACCCAATACACTCATGCACTCAAAGTCAAAGCCGTGACCTTGCGAGGCAGCGTGGGCGGCTACCAAGTCGAGTTTACCCTTCCGTCTCACTGCAAAGGACAGATATTTTTAGTTAGGGTTGTTTTAATTCCTTTGTTAACGTTCCCCTGAGCGAAATTCCGCTTCCTTTAAAGCCACGGTGAACGATCACCAAGCGGACGCGCAGGAGATTGAACCCCTCGTACCGACAAGTAGACAGGAAGGAGGATAAACCGGAGGAAGGCTCGTGCATATCTTCTGGTTCGCCTACTCCATTGTCGTCCCCCTTTCCCCCTTGGCCCACAGACCGTGATTCATCCCGCTCCCAATTCCCGATTTAATAAACGCTCCGTTGTTGACAGTTCATTTCTGATATTGTCCGTTGAAACCCGTGTGATCGGACGTACAAGATCCCCGTGCAAGGAATAGTCGTAATGAATACGTCTACCATGACCTCTACAGATGAACAGCTCCAATCGCTTTCCAAAGGCCTCAATACAGACGAGACCAAGCCATCAGGTAACTCGGGTATTACATCACAGCCAACTCGTGCTCGTGCAATCTCATGCGAACCTGTTTGCCGGTTTCACCAACATAACTGACCTGACCACAATTGCAATCTACCCGGTAAATGCCCCCCAATTTCTGATTTATGGGAATCGGGTCCTTAGAGTGCATGAGTTGCCGGCGGATTGTTGCTACAGGTCTGTGGGCGACGTCAATCCCAACTTCGCTCACCAGTCTGGCGAATTCTTCTGATACACCAGCTATGCACTGCACTGCGCACCAGTACTTCAGTATCGGCTGCACCTTCGCTTTTCTTCCCCGGGTTTCTCACCCACACTTTTCGATAAGATTCCCTGGGTAGCCGTTCTCTCTGCAGAGTTTCCGCAGGAACTGAGTCTCGGCCTTCTTGTCGGCTGGCTCGGGGCAATGGGTTTCTACACGACGTTGGAGTGTTCTTACGCAGCTGTGTTTGTGCGAAAGGGTGTGATTGATAAGAAAACTTAGAATACGTGAGGTATTCGTCGCCTTCCGGTAAACCGTTGTTTTTAGTTCTCCATCGCCTTTTCTCTGAACTAGTACTTCGAGAAACGGCAACTGGCAATCGTTTCCTTCCACCATCGTGAACTGGATATCTGGGAAGATCGAATTCAGAAGTTGCGTGAATTCCGCAATCTTCTCTCGATTGATGATGACAAGTGTGTCATCGACATACCGTACCCACAGTCGTGGCCGATAGTGGTCGAAAGTCAGTGTGTCCAGTCGCTGTAACACTGCCTCTGCAATCAAGTTGGATAACGGCGACCCCATCGGTGTACCTTTAACTTGCTCGTGCGTAGCTCTTTTGAAGGCAAAACAGGTCTTTAAGCAGTGTTTCAGGCGATCGATAAAGTGTTTTATCTTAAGTTTGTTGTCCGTCTCGCCATAGTGTTCTTCTAACAAGGTTTGCATGGTTTCAACCGCGAGATGTTGTGGAGTGAAGGTGAAAAGTGATATCACGTCGAAAGATACCATCCGTTTGTCGTCTGTAAGTCGACTGCCTTGCAGCTTTTCAATGAATCGTTTAACTGAGTGGATGGTTGTTTCAGAACCTTGAGTTAGACATTTCAGACGCTGGAACAGCCAATTGGCCAGGCCTCTAAGAGAAGCGATTCGTCTCAAGGCAAGTCCTAGTTTTTTGACCATGGGTAGACCATAGAATCTTGCGATCGTTTAATTCTTTGGTTTCATCCTCCGCCAGTCAAGCGGTGTTATTGCTTTTGACTTCCGAATACGTGCCAGGTCCTTGTTGATTTTGTTTATTTGCGTCTTCGGTATGTCACCTTCACGAGGGACGAAGGAAGTTCTGCCGCCCAAAAGTGTTTCGACTTTGTTGGCGTAGTCCTCCTTGTCCAGTACAACCGTCGATCGTCCTCTATCGGCTGGGCGTATGATCCTGCTTTAGTCAGCCTTTAAAGCCCAGAGTGCTTCGTCTTCAATTTTTGAGAGCTTATTACGTTTCTTGTGGGACATGAGTCTGGGGGATATTTGCTGTCGTAGCAGATTCTTGTTTTCCTCAGTAATTGGAGCTTCAGCAATGACAGATTCCGCAGCTGCGATGAAGTGAAGTGTTTGTGGATCCGTGGTATTGAAGCAGGCAGCATGCGAGTGAAGTCAAACTGAAGCAGAAGTTGACCACATTGAGGGAAAAGAAAACGAACCTCTGCAATGACAATTTTGTGCACAACCTATCTTCCAAACGACTGACAGCAGAGTAGCTAGAAGTCGTGAGCCATGATGCCTGCTTCAGTACCACAGATCCCAAAACACTTGACTTCATCGCAGCTGCGGACTCTGTCATTCGTGAAGCTCCAATTACTGAGGAACACAGGAATCTGCTACGACAACAAATATCCCCCAGACTCATGTCCCACAAGAAACGTAATATGCTCTCAAAAATAAAAGTGATGAAGGGGGACATGCGCGTAATTTCGGAAGGGGCAAAATATTCCCATGTCCTAACCCGAGTAATAGCCCTAACATAAAACTGAACCCTTGTCCTATCCTAACTCCTTAACTCCGCAGCTAACACTAGTCACTGCCTTAACCCTAGACCCGATCCCGACTTCCTTACAGTTAACTTTAAATCTAGCCTTAAAACTAATCCTTTACCTGAACCTAACCTTAAACCTAATCCTTATTTCACTGGAAGTTGGCTCAAAGTCACTTGCATTGCACGCAGCTCCTGTTCTGGTGTCCTGTTTAGAGGGGCATAGAAGTCAGTCCTGC